AAATATTACATGGTGGAGGGAGGGGTATTGTAAGATATTACGTGTATTTATTTTTTAACTAATTTTTTTTAAAAAGTTCAAACATTTTCAAAAAAAAAAACAAATTGTACAATTTTTTCACGTAACTAAAAATACACGTGATGTTTGGTGGGGGAAGGAGTTAATTTTGAATATCACCATGTATCACCAAGGGAGAGGGGGGGTCCAAAAATCCTTAAAAATTCGCTTACGTGATTAATGGACGCCCCATATGGGGTTTGAATCAGAGGTCTTAAGTTTGATACCCTTCAGCCTGATGTCAAGCATAAATGACTTTTGTTTCTTTTTTTTTTGCAAATATAGATAGCTAAGTGGAAGGCCGGCATTACTCCGTCAATAAACATTCATCACTATTACAGAAATTGGAATAATGAACATTCATCATATATGGAGATGGGACAACTGTTTGGGTTGCATTCTATCAAAACCGGCGTGTTAGTCGAATTTTTCTCTTAATGCTTTTTTAATCTAAGAATTTTTGCACATTGTATAAATAAATCAAATGAAAATTGTCTAAGGATGGTAATGTATCTTGTTTTTTGAAGCATAGGATCGCCTCTATGGTTTCGGTTGAGATTATCATTATTTTTTTTCGTCCCATCCGTCTTCGAATCGCGTGCGGTCTGGAATCGTGAGCGGACTCCAAGTCTCCGAATGATATTCATCTTCACGGTAGCACGATCACTGTTTTATCTCTAAACTCCAGTACATATATGAATTAGTATGAACAGAGACGTAGGAAAAACTTTTGGGAAAACTTTATTAAGCAGTAGAATCTTTGCAAATTACGTTATTGTTTTTTGCAAAGCTGTTGTTCGCGCCAAACCAAAGCGTGCGATATATTGATATAAACAATAAAGCGAACAATCAAAAATCATATAAAATTGTCAATCATTACTATATTTGTTTACATTGAAATTATTATAAATACAATCATAACTTGTAATTAATATAAAGTAAATATATACAGCTATAATTAAAGTATTTTAAAACAAATTCGTTTTTCAAAATTCAATCAATCAAACAATCATTGAAAAAACATTGGTCCTTCGAACCGGATTTGACATCCAGTAAAATCATATAAAAAACAGCTGTTTTGTAGAGGTTTACTTATCTTTATAAATTGATTTTAATGTGTAGTACATTCGCAAGAAGTTTTTGAATTTTAAATAATTAGAACTGACTAAAAACTTACTCTCGCAATGAGAGTAACGGCGAGAAAGACATTAGCATGTCATATGAAATTTAGCGTACATTTGACAATAAAATTCATTAGTATATCCATCATTACAACCATTTCTTTCCATGAGCAGTTTAATAATTATTTTTGTAATATATTTGTTTTTATAATAACTTTTTGTGTATTATATTTCTTGATTTTGTAATTTTGTTTTAAATATCTTCAAAACTTCAAATTAAATTATATATTTAAAAATCAACAGTATATATTTAACTTCCGTAGGGTAAGTTATTGTAATCGTCCAAAAATCGAAATTGAAAATTTTTACATTCCTTCTCGTTTTGAAGGTTTCAGAACATTTTCGCATACCTCAGAAAAAATGGATGTTTGTGTGTGTGTATGTATGTATGGATACAATTTTTCGCCTACGTTTTCGGACGCTGGTTGGTTCAAAAAACATTCAATTCCTATTGATAGGGAGATGTGCTCATTAGTTTTTGGTAAAGGCAGATCCAGCCGTTCCGGAGATACCGAGCTAACTCTGCAAAGAATAGCAGTTTTTGAGTGAACTAAGCATCCGATTTGAATGATTCAAAAAACTTTTTGCTTGTGTTGAAAAAACAATTGTCTTTGAAAAAAAAATTACTTCTAATTTTTTTTCCAACAAAAATTTTTTTTTGTATATCGAAAATAATTCAGATTTTAATTTTAATTCTGGCTAAAGTTCTGGAGCTCACTTATATACTTTAAATAAATAATTTTAACTTTGTAATTCAGTTGATAATCTTACAAATATTAAAAAATGTTACAGTATTTATAATAATCTATTTGAAAACATTTAATATTTTTCGAATACTGGAATATTCTCACGGTACTGGAAGTTCCAGTAATTTGCCTTAAGGCACGATGCCATACACTACTAGTTTATGTTAATGTTTATACATAATCTTTCTACAAATATTATGATAAAATTTTATATAATGTATATAATTAATAATAATTATTTGCATAATTAACCAGAAAGTAGATGAAGGACTTACGAATTGCGGCTCTGTTAATTTTATTTATGTACTTTTATACGAGAACCATGAATATAAGACACATATTTTAAATAAGTATCATATGCAATTATTTTAATCATGTTTTGTAATTTTGGAGTTTGAGTTCATTATTTATTATGATGCCATATAATTATAGTAGTATATTTCACAATTTATATAATCACTTTTGATTATCTGTGTATTAGCATTTCCTAATATTCATTCAAACCGAGCATTGATATCGTTTGTACTTGCGTTTTTGAAGTAGTATTTGTATTTTATTAATAAACAAATAAAATAATCGGTAAGATATATTCAAATACCACCCAGAACAAATATTTCATAATTATAGTGCCTATAAATTAAAATAACTTATGATATTAATGCAGTAATAATTACTTCTATCTCTGGAATATTGATGATTATTATACACTTTCATTGTCACGCTATGGGCGCCGCGCCTGATAGATTAGATTTATTATTTTGCCATTTGCAAGTATAAATATATTGATATATAGTGGGTATTGATAAACAGTTTGTCATTCATTAACTTAAGTATTATATTTGCAAAGAGATTTATCGACTGATCATTTCTCGCCAGTTAGTCAGTTTTATGCAAATTGGGTTTTTTCTACTTCGATACTTCTGAGTTCAGTGGTTTATTAATTCGTGACGTCAGAATGGCTTTATAGGGTTAGTAACTTTGATTTTTAAGCGTAGGGAATTAATGATTTTGCGGTAGTAAAAGTAATAATGATTCTTTCTTATTTTGCAAATCAAACATCGAGTTCAATTCCTGGATACTAATTTATTTTGTTATATGCCCAAAATCTGTATAACTGATGTTAAATTAGGACTATCAATAAAGTTTCTTCAAATTCAAATATATAATAATATTGGAAACTATATTTTACATAAACTTAATAAAAAAATATCAGGTATTTTTTTGATTTAAGAAACAGCAATTCAATTAATTTTATTCAGTATTTTCTTTTATCTTTTAATTGTGCTAATTTACAATCTAATTGTTTAATGTAGTAATAATACTAATTCAAAATAATTTTCAAAAAAGATTAATAGAAGCGGTATAATATTGTGATATTTGTTCCCACAGACCATCATAATTTATTTTGGATTGTATAAAATTTAAGAAAGTTTTGTCTCAAATTTGATTTCTATTATCTATTTATAATAAATTATTTAAAATAATAAGTGCTTTCGGGCATATTCTGTCTGTACTATATAGTCCATAGCACAAGCGAATTATATTGAAATAAGATATAATTTTCGGGCAAATATAACATCTATTGGGAAATCAAAATCTAATAACGTCCACGTATACATTAGCATTTAAATTATTGGATTACCTATATAAAATACACAAGCTATACATATGTATATATACATGTGTGTGTATATATAAATGTATATAAGCGTAAGAAATAATTGAAGTCATGATTTTCCTAACAAAGATGTGTAACCAATATTTTGATTTAAAAACAAAGTTCTACTCTGTGTTTAATAGACACGACGAAGAAAAAGTAGTTGAATGTCGTGGAAAGTGCATTAAAATTATGCACCGTGACGCGTGGTATTTAAGATGCACTTTTGTGTATTAAATTTTTAAAATCTCATAATAAAAATATCTATAAAGAACAGAAATATGAATTCAGTAATGATTATGGTGACAATAAAAACTGGATGTGAAAAAAATATATTTATCTTTTAATTAACGAACGATGGAGATATATCAATAAGATGTGATTGCACAAATTGATGGTAATAATTATATGAGAAATTTTTATTCACTCACTGCCGACTTATATTCTCGATATTGGAATAAGATATTTCCAATGGGCTTAAGCATAAACTCGTTGACAATAGGCGTATCTATTCTCAATAGGTTTCACAAGTGTATAATCGTACTATTTAAATGCACTAAGCCGATTCCTGTTACATGAAATTGCAGTCGCGTGAATTAGAATAATTACATGTGAGTTGTGAGTACGGATCGAGATTAGCAAATTACGAAGTGCAACAGCTGTAATAAACCAAGTTGTTCTGCTCTCAGATAATTACACACTGAATACGAATCTTTGTTATATATTAAGTACTTTCAAACTTTTGTTTACTGCGTGTACGGTAATGGCATCTATTTCAGTCTTAGCTAATTGTATGAAGTATTTATTCATTTAGGTATACAAAATCATTCACAGAATGAATTATTCATTGATGAACTTCTCGCAATCTGCTTTATTTTGAAACCTTTAGATTATGAAAAAGTTATTAACTAAATTAAAGTTTTAGATATTTAGAATAAACTTTTTTTAATATTCTAAACGCGTTATACCTTTGCCTTTCATAGATGCGTGTAAATTAAAGGTTAATTTAAAATTCTAGCAGTGGCCAAAATTTCAATGCACATCAAGCATACATATTTAATCATATGTATGAGTTTGTTTTTATTTAAAACAATTACTGGATTCGTGATACTTTTCTAAATACTATACTAATTTTTGAATTTGTTTGGTTTAAGAATATTAATCAGATAAGCGTGATTTATTGAACACATGCCACATGCATGTACTTACCTTTTTGACCAGTCCTTCTTGCATTAATTGGGTTCAGTTATTATATTGCATTAATTGTATTAAATATCATATTGCGTTACTTCTGTTTTTGTTAAATAGAATATATCTCAAAAAATGAGCAAATAATATTTATTTCGTCTTATTTAACAGGTGGCCGCTGCAAAGCCCCAAGTGATCTGCACAGTCCCAGCGCGTGTCCATGAGAGACACATGTCCATAGCCGTCTCCGAGAATGCAGGGTAAGTTACCAATTTTCAACTAAACTAGCTGTAAGTGGAATTCTGTCTTAAGGCAATTAGGGCATCGTGCCTTAAGGCAAATTGCTGGAACTTCTCGTACCAAAAATTATTATTTTTTCAAAAACGAATAACATTTTTGAAAAAAATTTACTTCGAAAAAAATAGATTTTTGAGAAACTATAAATTTGACAAAAAATTACTTTTTTTTAAAAAAAAAATTTTTATTCGAAAAAAAAATTTTTTTTTGAGAAAATTTTTTTTTTTTTTAAAACAATAAAATTTTTTGAAAAAAAAATGTTTTCTTCATTTTGACATATTTTGGAAATTCTGAACTTTTTTTCAAAGCAATCGCACTGCTTGAACTGCATAGAGACGAAATGTCAAAGCTCGCAAGTGCTGCGCCGCCGTCTAACGCATAAGCATTGGTACGGAACCCATAGAAAAGTAAAAAAAAATTATACTTATTGTTAAAATCTCTATAAAATATCTGAAAATTGGAGGTGCATATGTCTAATGATCATTTTTAACCGCCGAATGGCATTTTTTTTTTACTTTTTTCATTAGATCTCCGAAACCGCTAGACCTGCCTTCATAAAAATTTGATCAAATCAACATCTTGTCAATACAAGTAAAATATTTTTTGAATTTTTAAAATCGGACGCTCCGTTCTCTTAAAAACTGAGTTACCGTTTTCGGCACTTTTTGCCCCGTATCTTCGGAACGGCTAGACCTGCCTTCGCCAAAAACTAATCAGCACGTCTCCTTATCAATACGAATCGAATGTTTTTTGAATTATTCAGATCGGTTGATCGGTGTTCCCGAAATCGTCGACGAAAATTTGTATCCGCACATACATACACACACGTACATACATACACACACACATACACACACATACACACACACATACACACACACACACACACATACATCCATTTTTGCTAAGGTATGCCAAAATGTTCAGAAACCTCTGAAACGTAAAGATATATAAAAATTTTCATTTTCGATTTTTTTGCGATTACTATAACTTGCCCTACGGGAAGTTAATAATAATTAAAAATCACTCATTTATTATATAGCTGCTACTCATGATATTCTAACCAATAGTCTTCAAAGTTGTACAAATTTAAAATAAATTGAAACCCATGCGCAAAATATGTAAACAAGCTTATCGTTCAAGTCAAACAGATTTTGTAGCACATTGTGATTGAATTGTAATATTTTGCTTTGAAAACACGCTAATTAAAAACAAAATTAATGACGTGCTAATTTTGGTTCTTAAAATAGGAATTTTATATCTTCACGTAATATATGTGAGTTTAAGGGGGAATTTGGGGATATTCATAATTCTAGTATAGAAATTATAGAAAAATCGTTTTGTTTTTTTTTCATATTTTGAAAGTTTAACTATACGTGTACGAGAGGATTTTTCAAAATTGAAATTATTTTTGAAGATACAGCTGTTTAACTAGGTAAGCCTCTTCTGTTTTTTTCTTTTCGCAAAACTTTGAACGCGTTTTTCTCAAAACTATCCTTATCAATAAGATGCCCACGATTTCTCGAGTTCTACTGAATCGATTTACTTGAAATTTTCAGAGAATGATCAGGTTCAGAGAATACACTTCTTTATAGAGCATACTAGTTTCATCTGTAAATTTCAATTATTACTATTTTTTAAAAAAATCTAGAATATAAAAAAGGTGGTTAAAATGATCTTTTTTCAGTCGTTATTTTGTCAAAAATTAATTTTTTAACTTAATCCTAGTATACGCCATTGCGACATCATTCTAGATTAATAATTTTGTTTAGGATTACTAGGAGGGCAATCGTAGGCATGGTCACATGTCAGTTTTTTTAGACCCCGACTTCAACTACTGCAAATTTTTAAAATTATTATTTTTTTAAATATTTTTTCTGTATTCTTGTAGCGTTTATAAATAAATTTAAATATAAATGATATTAAAAAAGTATTACCTTTTCTATGATGATTTTAAAATGACCTCAAATTCATGCCTCTACCCCTTAAATATTTCAAACGTGCAAGATCATTATTTAAATTAATTACTATTGTGTTCAAACGAATGTTTCATTCAGTCATTATACACATCTCGTATATTATATCTTAATAACTTTATTGAACTTATGGGCTAAAATAACTCAGGGTGAATAATTACTATGATAATAATCAATATAGTTTATGGCCAATATTTATTATATCATTATATAATTTGCCAGTTGTAATCCATGTATAAGTTGATGATAGAGACGTCTGAATTTTCTATTGTAGTTCTCTTAGTGCGCAGTTACATATGTTTTAATAGAATGCCATAGATATGCATTCAGATTAGTGTTCGTCACATAATGACTTTTGTTAAGTTGACATTATCTATATGCCGGTTGCAGAAATGTATTTGAAAACCATATCAGATCGTATATAAATCATGAATAATTTCTCGTATGACTCGTATGACTCGTTGTAACAATAATCATTTTCATCAACTAATGCACTTTGTTATAAGATGATGGTATGAGTTAAAATGTTAAAAATTATAATCACTTTTCAGTTTCCGCAGTCTTCAGATATATCTAATTGTTGTTGCTAATACTTTTGACATAAAATTTTGTACTGATTATAATAAATAAATATTTTTTGATGAAAAATAATAATATTGAAATCAACAGCCATTTCTGGTATAATTTACATATTATTGACATGAAGTATAAGAAAAAATCTTACTTTTTCACGAAATTTTGGTCTTCCTAAACCAGTTCCCATTTTTATTCTAAAGTCATATTTATTTTGTATTGTTGCAATTAATTGTATAAATTAAAATTATATTTTCATAATGTAATTTTAATATCATAGTTAAATCTTTATTGGTGCTCTCTGCATTTGTGTTTTAATTTGAAACGCGTTAGAATGAAATGAAATTGAAACTTTTCATTATTGATTTTATGTGTGCATTTATAACTTTGTTATATATGAAGGAAACAGGCCGTTTATTATATGCATAAAACGTTGAAACGATGAATGCAAAATATTAGCTATAACTAACGCAATATTCTGCAATTTTATATGCTGTTAATGCAATTTAGAATATCAGTATATAATAAAAATAATAACATAATTAATTTTCTATTCTCTGACTTATTGGAATTTAATACAGAAATTGTATCTGCTGATTTAATTTTGTATTTTATTGATTCATTTGATGTTAATTTTGCGTAGTGTAGCTGAATCCTTGGTTATTTATTTCTATTTGCAAAGAAACATCAATGCCCGCGCTCGGTGTAGTTCATAAATCTATTTGTAATTTACAACGTATCAAATAGTACATGATGAAGAATGAATATAAATTTTGCTCATGGCACTACATGCATTTACTTATATTCAGTTCATGCAAAAAATATCATCTCTAGTGCTTTTATATTTAAATTTGATATTGAATTAGAAATCTTTAATATCTTTATGTGTTTATATATTATATCATATACACTTTCATCTAGAGAAGTATTTTTGTACTGTTTATTTTCACATAAACGCGTATAAAATACGTACCAGATTCGATATCCAATTCAAACGGTGTGACTAGTAAACTAGACCTAGATACGCACCGATCTGGCGATAATTTTCAATTGAGAAAGAGTTCTCTTCCGCAGTCAAGATAAATGAAGAGCTAGATGACTTTTGCTTTCGATTTTTCTTTATTTTATAAGGGCTTAAAAAACAGTATTTGTCGAAGCTAATTACAGTTAGACAATGGAATTATAATAAACATTTATTTAAACTGGTTGTTGAACTATTATTATTGATAATTTGATCCTAATATTCCTAATGCTATTTACGCTTTAAATATGAAGTTTAAATTTCTGAAACTTTGTTTTATCATTATTTCGCTAAACCAGGTTATTAACTTCCCGAAGGAGAAGTTTATGTTTTCATCAAAAAATCCGATTCGCTAATTTTATGTTTTCTTGATGTTTCAAGCCATTCTGAATCGAATGAGACCAAATTTGGAAAAAGTATGTGTTTATGTGTGAACAGGTTTTTTTCTTTAATAATTATACCTACACGCACATACACACACACATGTATATATAATATATATAAATTTCTTCTTATAGAATATTTTCATTTTCCAAAAATAATAAGCTACAAAAAAAGCTCCTAACCGATGATATACTACCTCAAGCTCTCGCCCTTCTAGATTAGTATCCATGCTGCAGATAATCCATATGTAGATATTGCATGTCGTTTATTTATGTCGTTGGTGCTGATTTATTTTTAGTATCAGGAAAGTGAACTCTAAGCAACGTCAATTTAAATATAGCAATTGCATATGCGTACGTACATAAATGTAGTATGTCTTCCAGCGAAGTTCTACAAGCCAAAGTTTATAGCTGATGCGGCGGTATAACTTTCTATATCAGAATCTTATAAGAAAGAAATGACCGATTTGTTGTGTCTTTTAATAGCATTATTGCATATTTTGTGATTCATTTTTTTGCATAAATATTTGTAATGGAATTAAATTTCTTATATGTATGTAAATTAGCAACTCGTTTTTATTCGCGAATACTTTTATTTAAATTATTATTATAATGATTTATAATTATTATTATTTTTATATTATTTCTATATTATTTCAATTATTTTTTCTTTAATACATACATATTATAGCTCTGTGACTCATAGAGTCATTTGACTCTCATTGTTATAATTATATAGAATAAAATATTATCTATATTCACGATGTTAATAATATGTATTTATGTATCTTTATTTTTCTCATTTTCCTTCAATAATTTTAATATTCAACACGTTCGCGGACAGTAGAATTTTCAGTAATAAGGCTCAAAAAAATGATTTTATTTTTAAATTTCTTGTAATACTCAAAATTTGATTAAACACCGTTTATAAGTGTAGTCAGATTATCATATTTTAATCGTTAAATTCTATGGATGCTATAGCATTCACGTCAAGTATTTTGCTTCTAATT